CCAGCTCTAGGAAGGGTTCTGGTGGTCCCAAATGTCTTCCATTTAAGGATTATGGAGGCCACTGTGCTCTTAGGAACCTTAAGTGCAGCAGCATTTTTTTTGTAACCTTGGCCAGATCTGTGCTTTGCCACAATTCTGTCTCTGAGCTCTTCAGGCGGTTCCTTTGACCTCATGATTCTCATTTGTTCTGACATGCACTGTGAGCTGTAAGGTCTTATATAGACAGGTGTGTGGTTTTCCTAATCAAGTCCAATCAGTATAATCAAACACAGCTGGACTCGAATGAAGGTGTAGAACCATCTCAAGGATGCTCAGAAGAAATGGACAGCACCTGAGTTAAATATATGAGTGTCACAGCAAAGGGTCTGAATACTTAGGACCATGTGATATTTCAGTTTTTCTTTTTTAATAAATTTGCAAAAATGTCAACAATTCTGTGTTTTTCTGTCAATATGGGGTGCTGTGTGTACATTAATGAGGAAAAAAAATTAACTTAAATGATTTTAGCAAATGGCTGCAATATAACAAAGAGTGAAAAATTTAAGGGGGTCTGAATACTTTCCATACCCGCTGTAAATAAATGTGACGTGACTTTACTGGAGTAAGTTACTGAACTGCAGAGTTCGTTCAAAAATCTCTGTAATCAGATGCGTTTTAAACTGCCGTCAGTTTTTGATGCGTTTTTTGTTATTGAGAGGAACGCGCAGTATATATTTACATATTCATCCAAACGCCACTCAGCAGCTTCAAGTTTGGCTGCGTTTGCTCTGAACTGAAGCGCTGTCTTTCGAATTGCATCAGGAGAGCTGAATTAGTCTTGGGCTACATCGCCACACTGGTCAAACCACATTATTGCAGGCACTTACATTAAGTCATATGAGATCAAACGACTACTCAACAACAAAAATATGTGTCGACAATCTAATAGTTTCAGCCCTTTATCGAATTGAACTGAATTAACGACATGATAATCGTAACCGAACCGAATTTTGCATTTATATTGTTTTGTTCAATTTGTTACGCTTAGCAAATTTGAACACAAATGACAATAAAGAGTCGAGGCTGAATGGTTTTGTCCTCTGCTTGCAACGTCGTACTACACAGGCATTAGTAATCAAACACAGAGCATAGTAACAGACCAAATTAATAGAGCACAAATCGCCAACTCCAGTGGTTCCCAAACTAAGGGATAGTGTACAGTCAGCAGATTATTTTGCAAAAGAAACCTCTGCAGGGTGATAAAGACTACACTGCGTAATTTTCCCACTTATGCGGCCACTTGCCTGGTAAGTAAATAATTGAATGCAAAATATTAATTTGACATTTTAACTACCTCAATATGACTCGGAGTACCCGCTTGAACGCTACATTTTCAGTTGTATTTGTGGTTGTATCAATAACAGACCACTAGATGGCGTGATTGAAGAATCAGAGAGAGTTGTATTGCAGGGAGCAATGTAGAAATATAAATGAACTATGCATGGTTCTGCTCGAAGCATGAAAGTTACAAGTTTGTCAAAGGACATCCAGTGCCAGGTAAACGTAAAGCAGATTATGAATATACTTAAGATACACATAGACCAAAACAACGTGTCTACACCAGACGCGAGCGGCGCGATTTGACAAAAGCAAATAGAACCCAGTGATATTCTCTGCTGTGGATGCGGCGCAACAACAAATTCATGACAGTAAACTGATGCCACGTTCCATTTCTGACAAACTTCAGCACTCTGAAAATATTTTTCTCTACAAAAGGGGGGCCCGGCAGAAAAAAAAAAAGTTTGGGAACCACTGGCCTACTCACACAATATTTAATTTAATTCATAAGGGCCTACCTCATGTTGCACGTTTGCACTGAGAAAAACAATGGCACAATAAAAAAAAAACTTAGGTCTATGTGCAATCCCTCAATTTTTCACATTTTATAAGGTTAAAATATTTTGCCTGTAATTTTTTCCTATATCGCAATATAATATCGATATCGCCTGGACAGTGTAAAATATCGTGATATGAATTTTAGCTCATATCTCCCACCCCTACTAGATAAATTCTATAAATTCTAATGCACTTGAGATCATGTACCGGTGTGGGTGTTGAGGTGGTTCCTCAGCAACGTCACAGTCCTGAAGGCTCGTCCACAAAGATGGCACTTGTGAGGCCTCTCATCTGTGTGGCTCTTCATGTGGCGGTCCAGATTGGAACGGCGCGGGCAAGTGTAACTGCACAGCTCACACTGGAATGTCTTCTTAACACCTACACACAGACAGTGATTTAGACCCAGCACAGATCTGATACTGACACTATACTATAATATCATGCAAGTGTCTGTTCATTCTGTGTGTGTATCACATGTTCTCACCTTTCTTCTTGATTTTGGTTGGTTTGGGCGGTTTCATGTTACCCACAACTTTCTCAGCATTGACTTCAGAGAGCAGTCCCTCCTGCTGCTCCTCCTCAAAGTCATACACAGACACGTCCATGTCTTTATCGCCCTCTGTGTTATAACGCAGCTTGCTTTTCTTTGTCTTCTTGGCTTTTTTAACAGGGGGTGTGTAGTCTGGATCTTTGGACCAGGCGGGGTCTTCATTTTGGGCCTCAACCATATCCTCCTCCTCCTGATGTGAAGGCTGATCATCTTGGGCCTGGAGCTCATCTTGCTCCACAGTTTCCACTTCTCCATTTGCACCCACTTTGACCACCTGTAGGAGAAGATATCTCATTTAGATTCACCAGAAAGTCACAGCACACTGCATTTAAAACGTGTAGTCTGATCAGAACAGAAAATATGACCAACCTGGAAGCCCTCAGGCAATGGCAGGGTGTGACAGATGACCGGCTCCCCATCTTTAGGCATGCCAGTGGCATCCACCAGCGTCCCCTGCAACTCTTCCACAGTGGCGGCAGTGACAGGCACAGCTGAAACAGGCACCTGCACCAGCTGTAGCTCTCCCAAGCCCAACTGCTGCTCCTCCATGTTCACCACCTGCAGGGTGATAATCTGAGTATCATCGACGGTGGTGACAGTGGCTTCATGGGCAGCACCAGCCACACCAACAGCAGCCTCCATGACTTCGGTCTTCATCTGGAGCAGGGCAGGGTCCAGGGAGTCCATCACCATCAACTCCACACTGCTGTTGACAGCTTCCACCACATGCTCTCCTTCAGCCTGGGCTTGCTCTAACCCAGCAGCCTGCAGCAATTCACCCACTTCCTCATCTTCTCGTCGCCTTTGGTATGTTTTACATTCCTTGGCCTTGAAAGCATCACCTGCATCTTCCACCACTGCCTCAGTCGGTCCCCCTTCCATGGGTAATACCTACACCAATTAAAACTAACAAAGTTAGAATGCAGCACTAAATGCAGGATGCTAAAGTTACCTGACAGCAGTCTGGACTGTGTTTGTTTACTTGCACATACTGAGACAGCCTGCTATCAACCTTGCAAATGGTGAACAATAGAGTTGATTTGGCATTTCCATAGACATCCACGACTTGTGTTTGTATAGCATTCTGTGAGTTTACCTGTATCAAAAATGAATACTTCATCTCTCTACACCTGTGCCTCCACCACTTTCTGCCTCCGATGAATGAACTATCTGTCTCAACTTTGCTTCTTACTACCTAGCTCAACCTGTTGGGATGCAAACAAATCAAGTCATCAATGTCTAAAACAAAACACACTTTTAGTTTACAGGTCATACTAGTCAAAGCTCTTTTCTTGATCACACCCCCCTTTTCTGTTATTTTGTTTTTATGTAACTTATGTATGCATATGTGTGTGTATATATATATATATATACACACACACTTATAGTTTCTTAATAACACTAACAATAAACAACCTCGGCAAACATGCAAAACTTGACTTTCAGTCAAAGAAAGACGTGACTTTCATTGTACCAAAACCACGTCTTGAACTCTTGATTCGGCGTCAGAAAGCATAATCTGAACCGATTCGTTTCTACTTCCTCACGATCGCGCATATTTGACCACCAATCCATTAAACCGACAAAACAGTGCAAACGTATTCACTATTTACCTTCACACGTTGTAAAACACCCTTATGATTTTCCACAGCAAGAGGGCATTCTGAGATGGTTAATCGTGTTTTTGTACCACTACCAGTCGGGTTGTAGAGGGAGCTCTCTACAGTTTTTATCCCTTCTGTCTGTTGTTAGAGGTTGGTCTTTCTATAAGAGTGAGCGGTCGCACCAAGACCGACGACCGAGGCGACTCAGCGGTGTTTTCAGGCGACAAACTCCGGGATTCTGGGAGTGCTCGGCGGCGAGGCTCGGTCTTACTTCTCGAAAATGGCCATCCGTGTCATTTAGCAACGACATCTTCCTCCTTTAATTTTAATCTGCGCAATACGCTAGCAACGGCGACAGAACTAATGCTAAAACACCAAAGAGGCATTTAATGCTTATTTATTCACATTTAACCCGATCATTTTGGATTCCAGGAGTGATAAAGACCAAAGAGCGAACTCAGGCCGCAGCAATGGGACGTTATTATCGCCGAACCGGGTCAATGTTTCATCGATTCGGGTTTGAATTTAACTGCTCGAGGAGGGGCGCGAACACGGCAATAGGCGCGACCTGAAATCTGATTTACGGCTTTAATATCGCACATATTACGCTTAAAACCTCTCGGATTTGACGTTTGTGGATTTAGTTGCTTGCTTTACACTGTTTGGGTGTGGCAGGACTGGAAATTGGTTAACTTTGGATAGCATATTAGCTGGTTGGTTAAGTGCGCGTGAAGAAACGGCGGGTTTCTAAAGACAGGAAACAAAGAGAAGAAACAGAAAATGGACGCCTGGCCTAAAGACTGAAGCAAACATCCTGTCGTAAAATAATGGCATCTTGGTGAAATGCTGTCGGATATAGCTTCAATAGTGCTTAATAATCGGGCTAAAGCCCGAACTTCTGGGTTATAAATGTTTTTTGCTAAATTTTCGATAACGATAGAGGGAGACAAACACCCCCCGCCAGCCGCCTGGACTGGGAGCCCCATCGTGACACCTAGAGGCCGATTAAAGCTCCTGCAAAACTCCCCCCTTTCGGAAAAGTAGTGCTGTTTTACCTGCGTTTGGTGATTTACTCTCGCGTTGAAATCGATAGAAAGCCCAGGGTTTGTTCTTCCTTCAGTACGAGACGGAGTTAAATTGCGTCCTTCACCTCCAGCAGTTTTAATCCTCTCCCGCTTTTGCAGAGTAGGCTCCGCACAAAATGGCGGCCTTGAGCGGCTGTTGCGCATGCGCGTCACGCAGGGGGGCGGTGGCGTGGGGGAGGGCTGTAAACACAAGCAGTGTGCGGATTGGCCGTGTGGGGCGCTACTTTTTAATTACGGATGTGGGCTGTTTTTTTTCTTTTAATAAGCGTTGCGTCAAATCAAATGTGTGTAATTTTGTATTACAGCTGTTCCACCTTTATTTGACCCTCTAACTCTAACACTTTCTATTCTATTTTAATTCTACTTTATATTTATCTTTTTTATTTTTTATTTAAAAAAACAAACACTACCTTTACATTTTTTCTATTCTACTTGTTTTTCTTTGTGTGTATGTGTATATGTGTGTGTATAATATATATATATATATATAAATGTGTGTGTATAATATATATATATATATATATATATATATACACACACACCTTGCTACGTGTACTGCGTTAGGCTAACCGAGACTTGTCATTTGCACTTATATATTGTTGCTCTTGTTAGTTTTGACTGCTTTTATTGTCCTCATTTGTAAGTCGATTTGGATAAAAGCGTCTGCTAAATGACTAAATGTATAAATATTATGTTAAACATCGCAGCATATGTTCCGCTAATAACAATATAAGAATTTATTAGAAGGTACTATGATAGTTTAACAGCCCAAAGTGGAAATATAAGGGGAAATGATAGTGAGAGCCTTTTTTTTTATAGTGTGTATATATATATACAGTGGGTACGGAAAGTATTCAGACCCCCTTAAATTTTTCACTCTGTTATATTGCAGCCATTTGCTAAAATCATTTAAGTTAATTTTTTTCCTCAATGTACACACAGCACCCCATATTGACAGAAAAACACAGAATTGACATTTTTGCAGATTTATTAAAAAAGAAAAACTGAAATACCACATGGTCCTAAGTATTCAGACTCAGTATTTAGTAGAAGCACCCTTTTGATCTAATACAGCCATGAGTCTTTTTGGGAAAGATGCAACAAGTTTTTCACACCTGGATTTGGGGATCCTCTGCCATTCCTCCTTGCAGATCCTCTCCAGTTCTGTCAGGTTGGATGGTAAACGTTGGTGGACAGCAATTTTTAGGTCTCTCCAGAGATGCTCAATTGGGTTTAAGTCAGGGCTCTGGCTGGGCCATTCAAGAACAGTCACAGACTTGTTGTGAAGCCACTCCTTCATTATTTTAGCTGTGTGCTTAGGGTCATTGGCTTGTTGGAAGGTAAACCTTCGGCCCAATCTGAGGTCCTGAGCACTCTGGAGAAGGTTTTCGTCCAAGATATCCCTGTACTTGGCCGCATTCATCTTTCCCTCAATTGCAACCAGTCGTCCTGTCCCTGCAGCTGAAAAACACCCCCACAGCATGATGCTGCCACCACCATGCTTCACTGTTGGGACTGTATTGGACAGGTGATGAGCAGTGCCTGGTTTTCTCCACACAAACTGCTTAGAATTAAGGCCAAAAAGTTCCATCCTGGTCTCATCAGACCAGAGAATCTTATTTCTCACCATCTTGCCAACCTCCATGCGGGCTTTCATGTGTCTTGCACTGAGGAGAGGCTTCCGTCGGGCCACTCTGCCATAAAGCCCCGACTGGTGGTGCATTTAATTAATTAAGAATAAATAAATAAAAACACGAATAACTTTCTTTAGCATTATTTTATACAGACTGCAAAACGTTTTTGGCAGATTAAATAGTTTTTCAGCTGAGAATAAGTATAGAATTGTACATTAAATATAGAATTTTTGCAAACTTTTAAGATTTCATCAATTTCCATGAATCTTTCAGCCTGTAAATTCATTTTTAAATACTCTGATCTTTGCCATTTTTCTATGGCTCACTGTGGGAACACATTATTTGCAGCAAATCCATTCTTTCACTTTCATTACCGATCTTTCCTTTGTGTGTCCATTTCCTCTGGTTTAGTCCACTGCTTACCTAGCACAAGCAGAGCTTGTTTGGCAGCATCCCTCACATCCTCCTTATCTGTCCGGCACAGATACACCAGCTGCTCGATGCTCTCTTTGGCCTGTGATGCACAAACACAGAGTGTGGGAAAAAATAAACGTTGATTGAGTGGTGCTGGGTTTTTGAGGAGAGATGTTTATACATGCATGAACTGACCTTCAGGCATGCGAGTGATTTACATCCACACACCCGTGTCTCAACACTTTCATCCTCCAGCAACTCTAGACAGCTCACCAATGCCTGAGACAGAACAGTAATGAGAGACACTGAGTGGATCAAATCAAAATCCTTTCTGAATAGCAAAGCATTACAACTTTACTTTGCACTTAATAGTCAAGATTAAGGATGCACAATTATTAACCCTTGTGCTGTGCATAAAAATTCCTTTATCTAATTTGGTGTTCTTGGTGAAAAATGGCCGGCCTTTGAATAATTGATTGTAAAAGTCTAACTATGCTAAACTATCAACAAATTTTGGATTCAATTGTTTGTCAACTTGTTTTCTTTCAGTTAGCACAGGTGTTTTATTTCTTTTTGGAGCTGACTGGTAGTAGGCCTCATTGAACAGCTGACGCATCTCAGTTTTTGAGTGAAAAAAGCATTGCATATGAATCCAATATTTGGAAATAATACAGCATAATGAGATATTTATAAGCAATTTTTTTGTAGGCAAGTCATTTTTAATGAAAGATGGTGTGTAGAAGTGTAGAAAATCCCACCAAAAAACAAAATTATCCATTTTTAAATGATCAATTATCAATTTTTTCTAAGCTTTAGTCCACTGCGATAAAAAAAAGAAAGAAAATCCTCTCTGGGTCAAAATTAGGGATGTGTCCGAATAGTGAATCCGAATTCGGAAAAGGCACAAAAACGAATAATGTGTTCTACGGAAGCCCTAAAGGGAATAAATATGAGATGGGAGGGAAAAATATATTTCAATGCTTTCTCTCGCAAGTATTTCGTTGGGTTATTATACTGTATATAAACTGCGGGCATCAGGAAGCCGCTATTAATATGCAGGGCATTGAAATCGCTTTTGAATGCGCACTCGCTTTTTACTTTCACCTTCGAGATTCACAATCACACGTACTCTCTGTGTATACAACTAAGCGCCAGTACTTACCACACATCTCACAAGATTAGATTTTTGTCAGTGGTGCTCAGGATCTGCAAATCATTCGCCATTGTCCTATCAGTCATCTCTCCTTACTCTGTTTATGTGGTAATTGAAATTTTATGTACTGTAATGTAACAGGCTACCGCTAGCAAGCGGCTAACCATGTCCCTTTAATGGCTCCATAGAACACGTTATTCATTTTCTGTGCCTTTCCGGATTCGGATTTACTATTCGGGCACATCCCTAGTCAAAATGACCGAAACACAACATGAAGGTTGACATTCTGGACGATACCAAAGCGGATCATTATTTTCATGTTATGACAGATAACTGATAAATAGTCAATATTCAAATTCTATAATGTTTTGCCTAAATACATTAAAAATAAAATGTAAAACTAAAAACTAAAATCAATTGTTTTGCCACAAGTGAATTTAGGTAACAACATTATAAAGTACAGTATGAAAAACGCGTTTTCTTTCTGAAATTTACAAAAGATTACATCTAACAGTTTTGTTATATTAGTTTATTATTTTTAAAGATTAACTTCAAGTGAGCGTTAGTTATTGTAGTATCACTGATATACTATTATAGTTCTTGTTAATATTTTGAATTATTGAATTGTTTTTCTTTTAATTTGAAAGTTTAAGTAATTTTGTTGTGTATTTTATAATAATTGTATTTTATTTTAAATATGTCTATAGTGTTTTTGTTTATTAAAATGTTTTTTTTTAGTTGTAGTTATTTAGTACTTCAACAAACTCAAAAATAAGAACTTGTTACCTTGCCTTGTAAGCTTTTTATATTTAATTTTTATTTAAGTTAGTTTATTTTATTTTAATGATGAAATTTAGCATTTAAAGTGGAAAACTTTGGATACATTTTACAGATTTTTAATGTTTATCATGATTTTAAACACCATGTGATCTCATAGCTTATACTTAAAAGTTTATACTTAAAGTTGCGACATTACTTTTGTAGAAAAGTATTTTGCTTTTATTTGTGTCTATACTTTAATATTATATTTTTTAAATGTGGGAAATAATAATAATAAATAAGTAGGTGTGGAACTTTTGAATAGTGGTGAATAAATAATAGTCATGGATGTGGAAGTTTACGATGTTCATTTGATCCTCACTGCAAATCCGCTGAAATAGTCAGCTCCAAAAGTACAAACAGGAGTTTGTAGAGTTTGCAGGAGGATCGTGAGCACATATCTTACCCTCTCTCTGTGGCGGGTTTGGTCAGCTAGACTCCGCAGCAGGGAGCTGGCTGCACTGCACACTTTCCCACTCGGATCCCTCAGCAGCAGACTGACAGCCCGCAAGCCCTCCCTCTTCAGACTGCACTCTGGAGGCTTCTTCAAAGATTTTACCAGAACATCCTGATCTCCAGACTGCAGGCACTGAACTAGCCACACTGCAGGAGAAGAACGAAAGAGAGACATGGATGAAACCGATACACTGCTGAGAGAACATTAGGTGGGGAGGACTGGAAAGATGCTTCAAGAAACCACAACGACTGAGAAGTGGAATGGGGTGATAATAGGGGTGTTTGGGATGGGAGGGGTTGATACCACAGATGTGTAACACAATCACTCTTGCTAATGAATGTTTGAGCATAGACATGAATAGTCCATTAACTCTTAAGTGGCGTTCAAACTAACAACAATCTGCAATGACCAGACATTTTCAATGAGAGTTCTCAATTTCCATTGATGTGATAAACTTTCAGTGTAAACCGGGATTTTGCATTCACATTGCATCTCTGATGACATTCTCTCTCAAGCATCAAAAACAAACTCAAATGAAAAATGAAAGTGGCTTTATTGTTGGTAAAGGTATGTGTTTTTGCTGCTGAATACAGTAACACTAATGGTGAGCTATACTTGTTTTTTTAAAGACCTGCTTAAAAATATATTGTTCAATTTATGCTTAAAGTGATAATAATACAAATAATTCTACTGTTCTACAGTAAATATTATTACAATTTAAAATAACTGTATTCTAGTTTAATATATTTACAACAGCCATTACTCTAGACTTGAGTGTCACATGGTTTTTCAGAAATCAGTCTAATATGCTGATTTGGTGCTCTGGAAACATTTTTATTCCAAGAATCTTTGATGACTAGAAAGTTAAAAATAGCATCTATTTGAGACATTACTATAAATTTTTGATCAATTTAGTTTGTCATTTATTGGAAAACAAGACAAAAATATGATTTCATTAAATAAATGCATGATTTCCGGTCTGTTTGTCGCTGCTAACTGCTGTCCATGTGAACAGCCCATTATATGGCACTCAAATATACCTTCTTCAGCCAGCTCAGGAATGTGTGTGTCCAAGTCATTCACCCCCTCTGCTTCCAGGTAGCTCCAAAACTGGAAGAGGGTGAGAGTCTCTTTGGACGCACCTCCTGCACGCCGGGGCAGCTTTCTCTTCAGGATCCGCTCCAGCAGATGCAGAAACACTAACACACACACACACAAGTTCAGTGTCACAGAGGGTCAAAGAAAATCTGATTTAGCGTATTGAAATGTACACACATGGGGTCATCACAAACAATGATTAGCAGTGTATTAAATCCTTCCTGGAGATGAAATACAGGACGTTATGGTTAAGGTTGTAATTTATGTTGATTGTACAGCAATTTCAATTTAGAAACCAATTTCCCCATAACTCATTCACAGTGCTTGTTCATGCATTAATATACAACACACACACATACCTGTGTCTGTGAAACCGGCTCCTCTCTCAGGGAGTCTGCTGGCGTAAGTGTCGCTGAGTGCCTGTAAGAAGGCCTCTGTGGAGGTGCTGTAGACGCTGCAGCCATCCGTGCACTGCCGCCATAGCAACACAGCCCCTTGGCACTGATCTAACTGAGGAACAACTGCTCTGACATACAAAGAGAATGTGGGAAATAGAGGTGGTTGTGAGGAAAAACTTATGACAAAATATGTGAAATAGCATTCTTCTGTTGTATAATAAACGATCTGTGATGCATGAAAAACAATGTATGAACATTTGCAAAGAAATTAGCTCACAGGTAAGATACAACTTAAACACCACAGAGACAAAACTGATGTATAGTCAACAGAACTAAAGCATTATAACAGTTAAAATACTATAATCAGTGAGACTCACCCTCCTCTGGCTGGATGACTTCGCCCCTCGAGTCCTTCACAACCCATCGTATGAGCTCAAGGACTCTCGCTTCCCTGAGAAGTCGGTCCAGAGCGTACATCTCCCCACAGCGCAGGGGCCCGAATGTGCCTAACCTCTGTTTACAAAAACAAAACACAGAGTATGAACAGAGATGCTCAGACACTATGAAAACACTTCAAACTTAAATTAATCTATGAAATGTCCAACCTATATATATATATATATATATATATATATATATATATATAGGTTGGACATTTCTCATACTTGTACGATGGTTAGATACATTTTTTTTTATAAATTGGCGTCACTACGAAAAGTTTATGCTCACCAAGGCTCCATTAATTTGATCAAAAATACAGCAAAAACAATAATGTTGTGAAAATTTTTTAGAATTTAAAATAACCATTTTCTATTTTAATATATATGCTAATTAATAAAATAAATCCTATTTAAACACATATAAAAATAGATATATATTGATAAACACTCAAATTTGACTTTTAGACTACTTTTTTGGACATACTTTATAATTATAGACATTATTATTTATTCAAAAGTTTGTGAAGTTTTATTTGTTTTAACATTATTTTTGTATAATACTTCTGTTGGTTATAATGTATTTACACGTATGTTCAATGCCTTCGAAAAATGAACTGAATTCTACACACATTCTCATTATTTCATGTTGTTCCCCCTATATATGGGACTAAGGCCCAATCCCATTTCTACCCCTTAGCCCTTCCCCTTTCCCCTAACCCTCCATTTTGCACATTCACGTGAAGGGGTAGGGGTGTCTCGATTCTCTTTTGGTTGGAGGGGTAGGGGTAAGGGGAAGGGCCAGGTAGCCCTTCAAACAAAGATTTTTCTGGACCACACTTCAAACAAAGGGGTATGAATTATCTCAGCATTAACCGGCTACAGCGGCGGCTGCCCGAGTGGACAAAAAGACACATAAATGTAAGCATTTTTGGCATTAATAAAGATTTTAATGAAAAGTAATCATTTGTTTTATGTTACGTTCAATCGTGAGTTCATATTTACGGTCATGTTATTAAAAGAAATGTTTGCAAAAAAATCGCTAAAGTTGCTAACGTCATGTCATATTACAGACTGCACGATAGTGCCACAAGTTCCACAACATATGTTTCATGTCTGATCAGGGCGATAGCCACCTTAGACATTGAGGCTAGCCCCCCCCAATAATTAGAAATCGCTAAACCCTTTTCTCAAATATTGCTAAATCGAGAGAGAGAGAGAGAGAGAGAGAGATGAAAGTTGCATTTACGTGCGTCTCTCTTTGAGTGAGTTTACTTCAAAAACAGCGATTATATCCTCTCGTTGCTGGAGAATATAATGTAGCGATTCAGTATTTAAACTGTTATTAATAAAAGTCATGGGGTAGCGTTAACAAGTTTCTTTGCTACTGGATGTGTGAGCTGTGCGATCTCTGATGTGTGTGTGTGTGTGTGTGTCAGTAAACAGCGCTTTAATATAGAACGGTAAGGCTCTAATGCACACCAGCACACCAGTATATTGTAGGAGCTAGATGACGTGTAACGGTGTAGTAGTGGTGTCCCAATTCTTAGGGGAATATTTTCACCCCTACCCCTTGACACTCTGTTTTAAGGGACATGGGGAAGGGGTAGGCAGAGGGGTAGGGGAAGGGGTATAAAATAGAGTTGGGATTGGGCCTAAATGTCTATATCTAGTACTATTAGACTACAATAACTGACCAGCAGCTGCGAGCTGCAGTTCTTCAGATGAACCAGCAGGGTGTGATCTAGAGTCGGGCAGCCTGTGCTGAGAGGGCCGGAGGGAGTATCCCAACACCTTGCTTCACAGCCCTCATCCTCTCCTGCGCTTTCCACAGCCGCTGGACACTCCTCTGTGCTGTATCCGTCACAACACACATGAAAACAAATGCACGTCAGAAAATGACAACATAATATATTCAGAAAAGTTGGGATTGAACATAGATAAAGTTGTGAAATCAGTCACTCAAGCTAACGGTTGTCCTTCAAGTCACTAGGTGGCAGTAGTGTAACATAACATTATAGAAGCAATACATTTTGATAAAAAAAACCTTGGTTGAACCTGATTCATCTTTGTGCTATAAAATATCATTTGACAGCAGAAAGGTGAAACATTTCTCAAGTTCTGACCTGTCTGTCACACTCTGCCTCTCACCATCCTCCTCTTCTTCCTCCAGGTCTGATGTATTAAGGAAGTCAAAGCTCCCTAGAGCCGTCTCAACCGTCAAACTGACAGTGGATGAGCGACTATGACTCCGTACCTGCAGATAACACACATTTGCAAAAAAATAAAAAATAAATAAAATAAAACTTTCAATCTCTTTAGTCTAAATAATTACAAATGAAAAACTCTTGATTTTAAAGTATATAATGTATCAAACAGTTATTAAAAACTACATAAAAATTTTTAGCTAGAAGAAACCCCAGAATTTAATGTTCAACTAATATTAGTTGTTTACATGATATTACTGTCAATTACCACATAAAACAATTTTGACTTGTAAAAACAAGCAAAAATAGTGATGGAATCCAATGGAAGTATATTGGGGCAAGACTTCACACCAGAATAAGTGTCAAAATTAACAAAAGTACAGCCACAAGATTGTAAACATGAGGCTTGTGTGATAGAATAGCTAACTAACCTTGTCTGTGCAAGTTACCTCTAATCTTTCATCAACTATGCACATTTCTAATATTAAACTCGTGAATACATAAAAAAAAAAACTTCTAAGTAAATTGCTAATATGCAATACTGCAAAAGCAGTGTTTGTTTGTTTGTTTTTACAAATAGAAGAACAATTATATCTGTTAATTCACAACATGACACAGACACTGTCAGTAGACAGTTGACTTATAAAACCTGGAACATTAATAAGGCCAATTCTGGAAAAAGAGACATTGTGTTTATTCTATGACTAAGCTAAGTTTTGCCGGGAAAACCTCTCTGTAGACACAGGATGAAGTGGTTAATAGTGAAAGCAAAGGGCATGTCTTTGATGAACTCTATTGTTCCACTGATGAAGACCAAAGTCTCTGGACCCAAACCCGGATCTGAGACATTGATGGTTATCGTGGGGCTTGGATACAAGCAATACCCAAAGGCTTCTCTGACCAAAGTACTAAGTAATGTTTTGCTTGGGGATCAAATACTTATTTCACTCACTGTAATGCAAATAAATTTCTAATCTTTATATAATGTGTTTTTTCTGGATTTTTTGGTTGGTCTCTATACGTTAAAATAAACCTACCATAAAAATTAGACCCTTCATTTCTTTGTAAGTGGGCAAACTTACAAAATCAGCAGGGGATCAAATAAATATTTTTCCCACTGTATATATATATATATATACATACACACACACAAATATATGTATACACGTATACACACACACACACATATACAGTGGGTACGGAAAGTATTCAGACCCCCTTAAATTTTTCACTCTTTGTTATATTGCAGCCATTTGATAAAATCATTTAAGTTAATTTTTTTCCTCATTAATGT